AACATGGTTTAGTGGGCATGGATGATGGTTGGACTCAATCTTGAAGGTCTCTTCCAACCTAAATGATTCTATGATTCTATGAATTTAGTATAGAGTTAACAACAACAAAAAAAAGCCATTGCTGCTGCTACACTGCAGTACTTGATGCATACATACAAACTTGATGTACGTGACAATACTTTTTTGGCCATTGTTATATGCTGAGAACAAACCTGCATTTTGATGTCCTCTTACAATGCTAGAACACTGATGAATAAACAGCCTAACAAAGCCTTCAGACTGATGTAAAAGAGAATATACGAGTTACTTTCTAACAGAAACTCAGTTTCTTCCCTAGTGTTTCGGAGAATCTCTATGGCTCCTTATAAAATTAGGCAGAGGAATACTATCTTTAAAGTGGTAGTTATAGCCATTATTTTATCTGTAACACTTTTGTACAGAGACACTAAGGAACACAATCTCCCCTGAATTCTCTCAGGCATAACTGGTTTCATTTACTCAGCTGCCAAAGTGTTAGCACACAAAGATCCTCCATTTGATTCTTGCCTGGACCTGTACAGAAGTCAAGAACAACCTTCTCATACAGTGCCCCTTTCATATTGCATTAAAAAGTAAATTTGCAAATTAATTCAGAACAGCCAATCAATTATTTCTCTATTCCTTTTGGTGTTTCCTGTAAAGATCTCTATACAGGAACACAGCTTAAAAAATAGTCTTATTTTTGCATCAAAGTTGCACTGAGCTACAAACCATCTGATAATAGTCAACGATGATATAAACTGAAAAAGTTTCTTTCTTGAGATTCAGTAAAAGCCTCTTCTCCCTCCCCAAAAGCTGTTGCAAAGTTACACCTACATCCAATGAAGGGAAAAGTGTGATTCCAATAGTTTTGGGTGATTCTATCCTAACTAGCTTACTTAAGGTGAATAATTAATCCTGCAGGTTCAGTGAAGTGATTCTTGCTATGAACAATTTAGATGCAGAAATAGTGAAAATGGATACTGTGTAATGGAAGCCTGTACGGGTCTAAACCATCAAAAGTCCTATAGACCAAGGCAGTGGACTTGGAAACATTCTCTACATATGTTTCTCTGAGTCCCTTGACCCAAAAGTTATCATACATGCCCAGTAAGGGAGCCATTACTGAACAGAATTCATGACTCTTAGATGAATAAATTACCAAACAGAGAAGCAGCAAGGGAAATTTCTCTTGACCTGACAGGCTTCTGGCTCTTAAAATGTCTTTAGAGCAGCAGAAACACATTGCCCTGTGCAATACTAGTGCTACCAGAATAGCAATGACCGAGATTTGAGTGAAGTGACTGAACTAACTGGATCAGAACTCACTGGAACCTTAACAAAGATGAGAACCCCTCTGTGCCTGAAGAGGCATTTATTCATTTCCCAGCAGAAAGACTTTCAAAGACTAATGGAAACATGTTAGAGAAAAGCAGTCCATCATCCTAGTAGATAGTCCTGCCCAGAAGAGAAACAGCACTGGAATTCCTCTTGCCAACATGCAGTATCATAGAAAGAGGAGGTCTGGAATAGCAGTCTCTCTATTCCTGACACAGAACTAACTTCTGTAAAGGCGAACTGAAGGAAACTTCAGGCAACTGTACCATTATTTTACTAGACAGTCACAAAGAAGAAAACCTTTGTATTCTATTGATGTATAGAAAAAACATCTACAACAAAACATAAGCCGTATAGTAGCTCTGCCCTACTGTCACTATTGATCAAAAAGAGCTAAAGCAAGTTGTAACTAGTTCTGCACCTTTTGAGAAAGGGAGCATACTCACAGCATTCAGCCTTCATGGGTAAATTTTGCCCTTGGGCCTCCCAGGTTCCTGAGCTCATTGGGAGAATTTGGAAGGCTGAAGCAAAGGAAAACTAAGATAGAGACGTAGGAAAATGGCATGTACATAATGCCCAGGGAAAAATGGAAAGCACTTGACCAATGTTGAGGGAGATAGCCAATGTTGCTGTGAGGTTGGCCAGCTGTTTGAAAGATCATAGCAAGTGAGCAAGGCTTCTGATGACCAGAATTCACATTCAAGGAGGAAGGCCCAGGGAACTCTAGGTTGGTAAATCTAATCGCAGTCCCTGCAAAGATTATGAGGCAAATCCTACTGGAAGCCATATCCATGGATATGGAGGAAAAGGTGACTGGAAACAACTAGCATGGATTTACCAAGGCCAAACTGTGCCTAGCAAACCTGACAAGAAAGTTGGCTCTATGGATAAGAGGACAGCTGTCCATGTCATTTATTTGACTTTTTGCATGGCTTTCAGCCATCTCCCATAACGCCTCTACGGGAAAGCTGGCAAAATATGGATTGGATAGGCAAGCACCAGCTGAACAAACTAAACATGAGCCAGAAGTGTGCCCTGACAGCAAAGAAGGCCAAGTGCCTACTAGGCTGTATTAGCAACAATGCAGACAATAAGTTGAAGAAAATTATTATAATCCTGTGTTCAGTACTTGTGAGACTGTATTTGGTGTGCCATGTCCCATTCCCAGTTCCTCATAAAGACATACGTTAACATACTGGAGCAAGACCAAAAGAGCTCCACCAAGATGGTCATGGACTGCACTGCATGTACAAGGGGTTGAAAGAAATGGAGTTTTTTTCAGCCTTCAGAAGAGAAGTCTGGGTACGGAAAAATCTTGTTATCTTCACCTATCCAATTGGAATGCATAGCAAGAGCCAGACTCTTGGAAGTGCATAATGACAGGACAAGAGGCAACAGAAAAAAGCTGCAACAACTCTGATTAGATTTTACAAAAACTTTTTCACAAAGAGGGTGGACAAACACTGGAACAGATTGTCCAGAAAGGCTGTGGAAATCTCCATCCTTGGAGACACTCAAAACTTGACAAAGCCCTAAGCAACCTGACCTAAGCTGGCTCTGCACTGCATGGGAGGGTTGGACCAGCTGGTCTCCTGAGGACCATTCTAACCTAAATTATTCCATGATCCTACAGGTGATCCTGACAGACTTGATTAGACAAAGAATCAAATTACCAAGATGAAGAAACAGACAATTACTGAAATAAGAACTTTACGTTTACCTCTTTTGATAAGTCATTTCTTTCTTTAGCTTGTGCTTTGTTTGACACCTCTAATATTTCATATTTTCTTCTGAGTTCTGACAATTCATGTTCAAATACATCACGTTCACTGTTAAAATAAAGTGAAACTATTAGATGCATAAAGTGTAATGAACAAGATTCCTGTGCATTTGTAATTTCTCATCCTTCTTCCAATCAGTCACTCATAGGGCAATTAGTGATAATTTTACCTTTTTTAGTTATTATCACCTACAACAGTATCTTATTATATGAAAGAATTTTCACTTCTAAGTATTTAAAAAATAATCTTAAATTATAATACAATAATCCTGAATTGCTATCCTAAATTATTTCATTCTCCTCTGATTATTCTTCTTTAGTGTAACTTTGGGCTATCCATTTCTCCTCTTAGCAATGAGCTGCAAGGACCCTTGTCTATCCTTTTAGCTTTATCAAGCTTTTGATGCTATTTCCCATGACATTCTTTTGAATCTTTTGCAGACATTGAAGTCTGATGAAAAAGTAAAGCCACTTCATTCCCATCTTCCTAATCAAACACAAAGCAATCTATACTTGTTCTCAGTTGCTACTCTCCCTTGATACCAGAGAGGGTTGTACTACTTTTCTCATGTGTAAAATATACATGACACAGCTGCAAAAATTATGTTGGTGTCCTGAATAATAGTGCTTTCCATACACACAAAGCAGCAGCTCTATGTCTCCACTCTATCTGACCCTGTCAGAACAGTGAAATGAATGAGCCAGTATGATCTTGCAGTTTGGAAAAAAAGCTAACCAGTTTTATATTAAGCATAGCATAGCTTTAAAACTGAGACAACTTGTAGTACACCAGAACTAGAAGATTTGACATAGCATTTTTAAAGGCAGAAACGAGCCTGGAAGTGATTAACTCCAGCAATGCTCCCAAATATCCTCATGCAGTCATGCCAACAGTGCTCTCCCTTCCCCTTCATCTGTGCCTACCTGGATGAATACAACCTACTCTCTCAAATATAGTTTTGGCACGTTCATTCATGCCTTTTTAAACTCAAGACTATTTTAAATGTACACTGTTAAACACTGGGGCCATTCACATGAACGTTATTACGATCCACTTATTAAGATGCAGTTGCACATGGGAAGCAAACCATAGCATCAATCCATCCTATTTGCAACAAGCTTCCAGGTAGATTCCAAGGTTGTTTTAGTACACATAACTGTTCACAGTTATCCAGGAGACAGACTCTCCTTCAAATGACTTGGTGGCAAAGTCATTTGTGTCAGTAACTGTGCCCAAGTTCATTCAGCATGAACAACTAAGGAGCTGACATGGTGTTTTCTATTCATAATCCCCATATTTCAATCCATTCCCCAACAGATGTGCCAAAAGGCCAGATTTCTTGTACTTGCAAGCACACTGAAAAAGCCATTTGGGAGCTGGCCTGTGAAGTATACATCTATGAGTGTATTTACAAGAAGTTCGTTTTCGCTATTTTGCAATTGTTATTTACAAGTTGGGCATTCAAAGCATAGGCTAGAACTGTAAAATCTGTATTTTAAAAATGAAGAGAGACACTGGAACTTCCTGCAGTTAAACCAATTCACTATGGTAATCCTAAAATTCTTTGACAAAGAGTTCTTGTAACAGCCCTTTCAAATTTATGGTTACAAGGATATCTTAGGTTGTAAATATTAATTCCCAAGGTCCTACCCTCTTAATTCACTGTGTAGGCACCACACAGTAGAGCACAGGGCCTTTTGTTAGGTCATTGCTTTTCAACTAGGAATAAAAAAAAAAAAAAAAAAAAGAGTAGCTGTTCTAAGATGCTTGGCATCAACAGCTCCCACTTCAGCAGCAATGAGACTAACAGACTCTTCTGAAAACACAGTAAATTCCTAAATATAAACTTTTAGGAAGATAATTTAATGCAACAGATTTCAAAATGTTGTTCATCTTATGACTGCAATATACTACAGGAGATAATTGAACCATTAGTGGATTGAGGTAAGGATAAATATCTGTTGTGTGCATAAGCCAAAAATCAAATGAAAAACCCTAGTCAATCAAGGCTGAAGCTTATCTATTAACATTTGTATGTTAGTAGAACACTTGAACTACAGACATACGTACCATTTTACTTTATCATAGTTCTCTTGTCTGTAATCACCTCGCTGAATCATCTGCTTGGTATCAGCCAGTTCCAGTGCTAAACGCTGGCATCTAACCTCAAGCTCTGACCGATTCCTCCTCTCCTCTTCATAGCTCTAGAAGGTAAGACATTTTGAAATGATCATAGCTACACTGATATTTACTTAAAGCAATCACTGACTAAGTTTTGGTGAGGTGAAGACCTCTCATGAATATTCAGTTGGTAGTATATTCATTTGTCTCAGCATTTAGAAAATTAGCACACATCACAAATTAACCAGCTATATTGATATTCAACTTATTGTTATCTTATTTTAAATAGTTGATTAATGTACCTATTTTTTCCTAACACATTTGTCCATTAGCACAAATTCCAAGACCAGTAACCCTCATATATACAGCTGGTGGTCTATAAACCTATAGTAGGAGCACAAAAGTCACACCACCTTTACAACATTTTCAAACAAGTTTCCTTGTGATGATGCTTGCTGGTCCATTTGAAAAAAAAAAGAAAGAGGATTGGTCATTTAGAAAGTTTGGCAACTTCTATCACTATATGAAAAATGCTAGCCAGGTACTCCCAAATTGTATCTGGTAACTTTGCTTAAGCATATCATCCAAAGCTTTGGTGGAGGAAGTAAGAAAAAAAAAAAAAGAAAAAAGGTGCTTATTTTATGGTCTATCAGTGTTAAACTTTCATTCTCCCTTCTTTTTCTTCTTCGTATACTTTGAGAGCCTACTATGGGAACTAGAAAAAAGGGACTAAAGCAAGAGAACACACAGAAAGCATGTCTTTTAAAACATTGGTTATTCCTTTTGAAAATAAACAGGATTTCCTAATCATCATACTCTTCCTTCCCTCCCACCCCCCATGGGAACAGCAGACTTTTGTACTTTCATCTCCAATCTAGACTCCATTTCTCAGATTTTTCTATAAAGTAGCTATTTATTTTCACAAACTTACCTTACTTGCTTGTCCTAAATGCTGTACTACTTAGTAATTTCTTCAAAAAAACAACCAAAAAATAATGCTCATCCACCTATACTAGGGAAAACTGATGGACAGGAAAAAGAGTTGCTTGTTAAAAATTTGAGAATACCCCCTGGGCATCTAGATTTTTTTCCACATTCTGTTTCTGAGAATATAGCTGACTTCTGTTTTCTGCTATGGTTGATACATGGCAAGCTTGATAATGGATGCTTGATAAACAATAACTCCATCTGGTTATACCAAATGGACATCACAATATTATTCACTGAAGGTGAAAACACCAAATGAACACCTTGAGATGTGATTACTGAACTAACCATTCAGCCACTGCAAATTAAATTTATTTTGTAGTGAGGGACATTGTATGAGTGCATAATTTTAAAAATAAACTGAAAACTATGCTTTATACAGTTATAAGAGAGGACAGTGACTTCGTCTAGCAAGTTTTTAACAGACAAGAAAAGTTTAGGACAACAGCATATATGGAGTGGATGACTCCTAAATACAGCTTCCTAGGAACAATGAACACAAAGATAATACTCTAGGATAGGGATGGAAAGACACAAAGAACACTCTGACCAAATTCACAGGCACCATAAACTGAAAGACTGACAGAATGCCTTCTTGAAAAAACACACCTAAATACTTGTAAGACACTACAGAAAAGGTCCCTGAGCTACTAAACTTATTGTAACTATTCTGCTGATAAATAAGAATTTTTTGTTTTATATTTCACAAATCTAGTAATTTTCACTTGCACTAAAATGACATTAGATCACAATCACAAAATCACAACACTGAGAAAGTTTTCATGAGGATTTTGGATGTTATATCATTAAGAACATGTCATCTAAAGACACAATTGTTATTAGTCCTAACATACTAGTATATATGGCTTATCTTTATGTTTACCCTAATTAATGGAAATACATTAAGCAAATTAACACTACAGAACACTTTCTTCTTAAACCAATTAAAATGCCATCATTTATAAAGATGGAATTATAATGGTAAAGCCTCTTTCAGATGTTTTTAAAGGTGTTGTCTACAAGTTAGCTAGAGTTTCAAATACGTAACATACAGGTGCAAGTACCCTGTTATACAGTGCAAACATGACTCATCTTGCAATAGGAAATGGTGGTAAGGACACTTTTAAGTGCAAAATGAAAGATTAAGTTTGGATACAATTCCTCTGTGGAGATCTTCTGCCATTCTGCTGCTAATACCATGCTGGAATTCGTATGCCCTTCGCAGAGTGGGCTATTGAAGCTCCTACATTATTACACATTCAGCAGCCAGAAGACAACTACCAAAAGTATAAAACCAAATTGGTTAACCTCTGGACAAATTTGTCATAAACAGCTCTAAAGTACCCATTTACAGAACAGTTAAGTATCTACAAAATTAGTTCCTTGTAATACCCAAGACCTAAACTAGGTTTTGAATTTTATTTAACAGATTAGTTGTTAATGTCATGTAACGATAACTCCAGTGAAGGGGAAGGAAATTAAATTCTGCTTTTGAAAAGTGATACTAAGACATACCTAAAGTATCAAACTGTTAAACAGATAATTAAGGAAAGGGGTTTTGTTTTGTTTGGTTTGGTTTTTAAAGATTTACCTAATTCTTAAAGAAATACTAATTCTACTGCATGGGTCACTATTTTCCAACTATCTAATCTTTTAGATGTTAAAGTTGTATTTTAATCACAGGAAGAAATGCAACAAGGCAAGTTAATAAACAGTCTATAGGCTAACACACAAAACCCCCTATATGGTATGCATATCTCCAGGTAGCAGATACACAAGCTTCTGGATTTATACAGCAATACATCTTAAAGACATATAATCAAGCTGTCTGTGCTTAGAAAGAAGCAGCCTTGCTTTGCATGTGATGAAGTTAATTTAGTTTGTAGCAATGTCCATATACCCCGAACTGATTTTAAGATCTCTGCAGTGGAACAGCTTTATCTTTCAATTTATCTTCAAGAGATAGCTTGGAAGTCTTGATGAACAGTTTTGTCATGCTGAAGCAAAAAAGGGGCTTTTAAAAGGAACAAGATATAGAGCACTACCAAGGACATGAATGAGGTCCTGGAAACAACACCAATAAGTAGAAATAACTTAAGTAAGCCCACAAACCTTAATAAAAATTAAAGGACAAACAGCACTTCCTCACATGGAATGTGACTGTGATGATCCTGCCAACAATGCATAGCATAGCTTCTTACTAATTTTTGCTACTGCAGAGAGTAGCACCTCACACAGATGAGGTGGTTAAAACAAACAAACCTGTCCTGTGCAAGATGGGTAGGCAAACATTGCCTAAAGAAATTGTTAACAGAGCGGTCCAAGAGACCCAGTATTAACCAGTACAGGTGGTTTCTAGAGGGCATGTGAGGCAGGCTCTACCTAGAAGCACTTCCATTTGGTTTACAAACACTGTCAACAGATAGATGTTTCAAGCAAGAAGATTCTGAACTTGCCTGATCTGCGCTATTTAAAACCCAAACTGCTAGAGAAACTAAAGGTCTAATGACAGACCTTAGTTTTACGATATTAAGCTTCACTGTTATTGTTCATCTGGAATGAATAGCAGCTTATAGCAGTCACTGAAATGAACACCTCTAAATTCCAAGTACAAAAACCGGATGACATACTTTTTGAACAAAGTTAGTGAGAAGTAATACATGGTAGGGATTAGCTGATCCTTCAAAAAGCCTTTGGGGATAAGAAGATAAACAAAAGAAATGCAGGGAAAAGATTAATCAGCCAATCAAGCAGAAGCAGCATGACTTCTTCACACTGTCCACAGATAAGCCTGTGGAAGAAAGTGATCCTGCTTTTAAAAAGCTTATTTAAAAGAACTTCATCTCTGAAGGATCACTTACACAAGCCAACACTTTCTGTTCATATCCTAAGGTACCTTAAGGCCCTAGGCAAATGTCAAGCTACTATACTATTGCTATGTGAAAACCAGTTCCCTCATGTCATTTGGATGAGGTGCTGCTACTTAGTAAAGTTGACATTTTGCTTCAATCTGTTTAGATAGCATGCGTTCAAAAATTATTGGTCGATACATTATTTACTTGAATACAACGGCCCATATGTCAGGAAGAAGTTATGCATAACTGGATAAGACATCTCTTCTAGTATGTTGATATGAAATTGGTAATCTGCCAAGGACTGTAGATGGGGCACTATCTGCCACTAAAAGTTATAAACAAAAATGTTGAGCTACTTCCAAAATAGGGAAGTTCTACAAGAAAGGTAAGAAAGAAAAGCTTTGGCATAAATGCCTCTGTTGCAAAAGAAAGTGGGGGAGAATAAAAGCTGACTTCAGTGAAATGTTCTCAGGTGAAAAGGATCCTTGAGATCATTGCATTAGAGACTAGAATTAAGCCATTTGGTACTTCTGAACAACAACTAGCAGTCTGTATGAGCCATAGCCATATATCAAAAGAGGAGGAAAGACATTGGATAGAAAAGGGAACTTCCATAGATATTTAAGTTTTCTTGAGTCTTGGAAATGTTAAACTGCTGCCCCAAGCTAACAGTTATTGGTAGAATATTTTTCTTTGCAGCTTTTTTCCTGAACAAGATAAATATTAAGAATAATGAAGGAAAGAAGGCACATCTCACCTAAGACTGAGGCCTCATCAGTCCTTTCTAGAGAGAGACGTGAAGACCAAGTAATCAAAGCACTGCTTGAAAGAATTTGTGTCAGGGGGCTGGGAAAGGGTTCTCGAGTGCAGTCTTTAATTACAGATGTGCAAACTTCAGAAGAAATCTTACCAAATGCAGTCCTTCTGGAGTAGCAACAGTAGCCTCAATTTTACAACATTCAGATACATCTAGTGCCAACTGATCCTTTGAGTGCAGTAACTTAGTTCATTCTTTGAAGACAATAGAAACGTTTTTCCTCCAGCTGGGAAACATTATCACAGAGAAAATTGTTAGGTATGTCTAGCAAAACCTGACAGCTACTAATCCTGATTCAGAGACGAGGTCTTAGAAGAGATCTTTGTCCTGCATACACCCAGCTTTGTCTTTAAGCTAACCATAGCTTTTAAGTAACTGTCATACTATAAATTTGATTGCACGTCCTGAAGGCAACTTTGCAGAAAAAAAAAAAAACAACTAGAGAAAGGAAGCCCTGATAAAACTCTATCAAGACCAAATTCCAGGAAAACATTGCCAAGAAAGTCATAGCCAGAAGAAGAAAGCAATACTTAAATCTTCTAAAGCTACGAAGAAAAGCAGAATTTCATTCTCAGACTCTCTCCTAGCCTTAAGAGAAACACGCAAGTAGTAAATTACATCTGTTTGAGGGAAGGTTCTAACCACTTTGGAAGCAAACAACTCTGAAAATAGTACACTGACATTCAGCATGGGAACACACACATCAGAAACTGGTTTTGTTTCTGGGAAGCTCCTGGTAATACAACATTATAGTTGGACTTTCTTTATCTGCACCTCCACAGATGGTGGGTGCCAATGTTATCTGTGCTTGAAGTACTGAGCACTGTAAAAGGACTGAAACAAGTCTGTACTATACGTTTGGTAACAGATTAGTCACCAGTGTAATACAGGAACACTGCTTTTACCTGTTCCACCACCTCCCCCCAGTCTGTTGCTGCTGCACCTAGAATCAGAGGAACTGCACTGGTCTAAACCACAGATGCAACAATCGTGTACAGAGAGCCATTAACTTAGTGGTAGTACTGCAGAACCACTTATACTGACCACTCTAAAAACAGAAATTAGTGACAAAAATCTTTTGACACTAGCTGCGTTTATCAGATTATGTTTCAGCGCTAGAAGTAAGTCTTCACACACTGTTCTTTGCTACCAGTTGTCAGAAGCAGCTCCCCACCCTACCGGGTCTGCCTTACAGATTCAGCAGGCTTTGATTAAGTGCTAACTCAAAGCAGCAACACAATCCACAAGAGAACTTTGTTACCCAGTTCTAGAGTTTTAGTGGTCTTACTCCTCAGCACACAAAGAATTAAATGAGTGCTAACAGAGGCTAATACATACTTAGGACCTTCTGCCTCTTCTGAACAAACAAAATATATTTTTATATACCTAGAGCACAAATACAGGTGACAAACATTTGAAAGATGTCTTTTATGCCCTGAGGTCAGAAACAGAAGTTTTTCTAATACAAATGAATTAACTAATTGCCCAGAGAAAAAAAAAGAACATGTGGGTTTGTCAAGTCTTAGAAAATTAGTTTCTACAAGGCTACAACAATTCAGTTTTTACAGAACCAAGCTTCATAGCTGGTATGGTTAGATGTTTATAAACTCAGTTGACTGTTGGCCGAGAAGCCACAATACCAGGCCACTGCATTCACTTTTGTGCTAGCCTAGGTCTGTTGTGCCAACAATGAGTTTTGTTTGGTGGGTTCCCCCACCCAGCAGAAAAAAAAAAAAAAAAAAAAAAGGCAGCATGTAGCAAAAAAAGATTTAGTGGCTTTGAAGACCTGATTTTATATAACCAATACTCAGCCATATCGGCTCATCGTAATAGCATTCAGAGAATAGAACTGTGCTGGTTTGCTTTCTCACAAAACAGTATATAAAGGCTTGTGAGCAGAGAAAACAAAATAATCTAAGTGTCTTAAGTTCACACTCCAAAACAAGACAGTAAAATTAGCACTCATTTCCTTTGACCAAATTAAAGGACTAGAGCCACCCTGACACAAAATAACATAGCTGATGTTAGGCAATGGTTGTCTTATTTGATGAATGCATTGCACATTTAAATTTTCCTAGAGTTGGCTTAACCTATTAGACAAGTTTGGATTTTCCTTCAAACTTTTTCAATTCTTTGTTGGCTAGACAGACTTTCCTATGACTCTATACTTAATTCTCTCATATTTCTCATGACTTTATTTCTGGGTGAATATCTACATGTATAAGACATACTGAAACCTAGTCTGTCAGCCATGAAAAACCAGAAAAGCCAGCGTTAGTAGCGAATAGAAAGATTGGGGCTAAACATATATTTTCATTCTTTTCCATGTTCTACAATGAGGAAAAAAAAAAGATGTTGAAACTCATTAGGAAAAGTCTTAATTATCTACAATAGTAGAAAAAAAGGAATGCTTACTGTAGGAAGTGGTTTATTCTCATGGGGGGGGGGGAATTGTTTTAATTTCTGTGATGACTGTATTTCAAACGTCTGTATTGGTAGTTTACTAAAGAAATTTTAAAACCAGAACAGACACTTTGTTGATAGGCTATGTAGAGAACAGAAATATTGCAACTGTTAGAGAAAACTTAAAATTTAAGGAATATTGGATGGGAAACCAGAGGAAGGATTTGAACAGTGTAAGTTATTTACTAACATGCAAGAAACCTCAGCAACTATGTTCACATGGCCGGAAATAAAGAATTATTGGAATACCACAAAAACAGTAAAAGAAGAGTGTAAGAGCTTAAGTAGGACTCCGAATGAAACTGTGCTTTATTTCCTACTGATAGATTTCCTTGCAATAAAGCTTGACCTTATTGAAGGAACTTAAATAAATAAGTTACACCAACAGTACACCTTGAAACCGCTTCTTCGTAAACTGCAAGAAATGCGTAGGTATGTTAGCTTTAGTGTACCAAGTACATCAGACATTCTAAAGTACCCTCACGTATTGATCATGCTCCTCTTACCTTATTATCTGAAACAGCCTGAGGTACCTTGTTACAGTGATGCTCATCAAGTCACTAGGTCAAATCTTAACTTGCCAGAAGCACAATACAGACTCTTAAGTCTCCCCATACAAAAAATACCTCTTACCAGGTAACATTTCATTAAATATCCAAAACACGTCATCTCTATGCATAACAGATACAGTGAAGACTTGGGTTTGGGGTTGGTTTTGTACACATGGAAGAACCATAGTAAGTTATCTTATCTGAAATCTGAGAAGCCTAAGGAGTAATTTTTATTAACAACTGTAAGCCTTTTTTTCTTGTGACATTTCAACATCTGGATCTCTTGCCTTATTTTTTTTTTTTTTAAATAAGGTATTCATTCTCACTAATCGTCTCTCATTTTAAGCATGATTATGCCAACAGGGTATAAGCATTCAAAGAACCACCTCAGTTCAAAACAGGCAACATTCTACTGCTTTCTCATCAGCATCAGAAGAAAAGCACAGTAAACTTCAAACTTTGAAAAAATAAATCAGTGGGAAAGGTGGATGCTGCCACCATGTGGTATAAAAAGAACAAAATTAGAAGTTTCTATATTAAAGAAAGGTCAATGTACCAAGAAAATTGTTTCTAGCACAACTTTAATTATTATCTACTCTCCTGTTAAATTGCTGCAGCAAAAATTAACACAGATGTCGGTTGAATCTCAGAAGGCTGAAATCCTCCTGTAGAATTTTATTAAATCAGAGCACATTAAATGTACAATGAAGGAAAATGCTCATGTAAATCAAAGTTAACAGGATTAATTTAATCTCAATTATGACCAGAGATGATGACAGAAAATAATGCTGAAGCACATAAATGCACAAATTTTATTGACTACTTTTTATAATTCAATTTAAAAGAGAAATGAAAATAATATGAATTTCACAAGATAATCCTGTATAATTAAGATCTCTTTACACCTGATTATTCTCTAAGTAAATTTAAAGGAAAAAAAAAGGTGGTAACTAAAGAATAATTTCAGAAGTAGTAAAATGACAGTGGCATTTAAGTCCCTGCTAGCCATGACTTGGATAAATATACTCTGGGTACCTGAAACTGTATTATCACAACTCCAGCTTTATGCGGAACTGAGCTAAAATACAAATCATCCTAGCTCCATACATACTAAGAATACTACAAAAATTCATAAATACCTTAAAAACAACATTCTCCTTATACCATTTCAACTCCTTTGCTCTTTTAAAAGAAAAATTAAATGTATTTAGATGATTTGTTTCTCTACTTCTGGCATTTATACCTTACCTGAAATCAAATTATCTTTTTCCTTTAGTATAGAAATAAATAGGAAAATTAAAACATAAAAAGTTGAAAAGCATAACAGAGAAGATGCAACTCCAAAGAATTCTTAAAAAATGCATTTTTATATCATTAAAAGAAAAGGTGAAGCAAATTACTACCAAGACATAGCCATCTTGAAAACTATAAACTGAACCATCATTGTGTCATCAACTACTGCTGGATGGATCTCCTTTCTCAGCTTCCCCACCTTGAATCTTACCCTCAGAAAGCACAACACAGCTGGTAAGAGTCTATCCTGAACAGTCTCATGAGAAAATCTCACAGGGTAACCATAACTTAAAATTAGCTGTTATGCAAGGATGTATACAGCATGTTTCCCCTTTCCCTCCTTCCCTGCCCCCTCCTCCTCCAAGTAATTTTTATAATCAAAAAAGCTTTTATATCTTATACACGAATAATGATTTGGAGAATGAGGTTTTTTGCAATATATATATATTTACACACTTTATTAATTGAGATAATTAAGGTGCACAGACCTCTGTCAGACACTTCAGCTGGGATTTGTACCCACTTAGTTCTTTTGTTAGGCTTTCCTTTTTCATCTGTAGATCACTTAGCTCTTTTCTTAAGGAATGGACTACTTCATAGAATCGGATCTAGAAGAACAAGATATATATACAAAATTGAGACTGGCAAAATTGCAATTGCAAAACTACAATCCCCAAAACAAATCAGCTCAACATTTTATGGCAATAATTCACAAAATGATTTCTAGTGCCTACCAAGAACCTGGTTGGGGCTGGGGCAGTGGGGGAATGTTAAAGCAAGGAGAGTGTCATTCCTTAGCCTTTGACAGCAGCAGCTAAGAAATAATCAGTTTGTGTTTGGCACTGAAAAAAAAAACAAAAGAGGAATAAAGGTAAAGATATACATTTCTGTTCAACTAAGGCAGCTCCCCGTCAGGCTGCTCAATTAAAAAATACAGCTGCTAATGGACCACGTGGTCCCACCCTCTTACTTGTGCCAACTCGAGAGACTATTTGATTAACAGCTTAAAAAGAAAAAAAAAAAAAGCCTATTTAGCAATAAACCAACTTAACTTGCAAACTTCCCCCAAGCCAATATAAATTTTTATGGGGTATGTAGAAATACAGAGAGATTAGTTTTGTTTTCTGCCAGTTCAGTGTGCTGAATCTGCACCAAGAAAAATGCAAGAGCAAGCACAGGAAGCAGGAACAGCACATAACCAGGAAGCACCGTGACACACCCCACGCACACAGTTTCAGCAGTAGCATGTTGCTATATGGGTTCAGTTGCATCATGTAGCTAAGCCTCTCAAAGACTCGACTCTGCTAAATTAACACTGAAAAAAAGCCTTGTAAAAGGATTTGGAAAAAAACACCCAAAACAACTATTACACATACTCCTCTCTCTTCCCCCACTCCAGTCACAGGCATAGATTCAGACAAATAAGACTCAGATCCATAAAACTCTTCCAGAACTTTTCTACTGAACAAGAAAAAAATAGCAGAAAACACAGTAGTAAAAGCAAAAAGTCAGTATTAAAAAAAACAAAAAGAAACAAAGAAGAAAGAGCTTTTTTGATATACACCCACACACACGTACACAGAGGTTATTACTCCTAGATTAACTTGATACCTTAAAATGTTTGTTTGTTGGGGGCGGGGGGAGAATAGATAATTAAACAGTATTTTCATGCAAAAGCTACTCCATACTCCCCATCATTAACTCTTTGTTTGATATACAATTGAAGAAGAATTACAAGCAAGAAAGCAGAGATAAAGTAAGCATTCAAGAGCTAGATGTACTATACTTCCACACAGAAAGAGGACAGGTCTCTTTTGCTACCTGTAAATAACAGAAGACAAAGAGAAGTTCCAGGTATATAGTATATAATTTACAGCATACAATTCTAAAAAACACAGAAGCCATAGAAATTTGTGATGTAAACGTAGGTGTAGTTTGCTTTATACAATAAAGCAAGTGTGCAACATGACTGGAAGATTAGCAGTACAGCAGAAAAGTGAAATTTTCTAATAAGTGGTACATTTTGGGGGGTTTTATTTCCAAGCTTTTTCAAGTACTGTGCTTGTTGAAAGCTGCAGTTGTCTGAATTTGTTGTACCCATCAAAGACTCCACCTTTCACCCTTACCTTTAGATGGAAAACAAATATAAGCTAGAACAGGACATAAGCTATAAATTTAAAGTTACTTTTTATTGAAAAAATGAAAGCTTTCCCAAAATATAGTTGCTATTGTAATTTTTTTAAGATGGTAACAAGGGATTCTCAATTCGTTATGTCTAGGTTTGCACATAAAATGAACAAAATTAAGGATTTTTTTTTTAAAGTACAATTCATTTAAACCCCAAATAAGGTATGATAATTTTTTTTGCTCATGCTGTGAAAGTTCCAAATGACAAATTGAACCATCAGGTGCTACAGTTAAAACTATAAAATGTCTTTCTATTCTGGGAAGTAAACTAACTGCATATTATTGCCTCCTTTTACTGCTTCACTTCTATTTTTTTTTTTCTTGCAGTATTCTATTCCTTCAATATTTAAGGAGTTTTTTCATGTCCATCTGTGAAATCACATTGCTTCTAATGGGTTTGCATGAAATCAAACAGCGAAGTTAGTTTTGTGGGTTCTTTCTAACTTCTGAACTATAACGGGCTTCAACTACTTCCTTAGGAAAAAAACCCAAACACTTTAGAATTGTGCATGCAAAGCAGTAAATACAATTTTAGTCTCTTAACTACAGCTTCCGCTGACCACGGTTTTCATCTATCTGGATTCTTTAAGAACTTGTCTGATTACATCTGAAACCAAGCAACTGAATTTCAATCAAATCCTCTTTTTTCCCCAAACAAAAGTGATTACAAAATTTTTAAGGTTTTTTTTTCCTTAAAAAATAACATTGGTTGTCACAATTGGTAACTATTTAAAGCACTGTGCGTTTTTTTAAACCACACCTAGCTTTTCCCTTAAGTGCTTGTATTTTTACTGTGATTTCCCTAGGAAACCTAACTTATGCCATCATGCCACATTTACTTCCCAACCAACCGCCACCTTGAAACAGATTACCCAGTATCAAACCAAGATGACATGGGATACAGGTATCAGGGATAAGCATATCTGCACAGCCTTCCCAAGAATAGATCTACCCATGGTAAAAAGAAAGTGTAAATGAATGCAGCAGATGAGGGGAAGGTTGTAGCAGAAGTTCAACTGTTACTGTTATTTAGCTTGCTTAATGGCCAATAAACATTCATGTAACTTAGCAGTCAAACCACACATTGCCTCTTGCCAAGTCAATATAGCAGAAACAAAAATTACTGCAATGGGATTTCAGAAACAACTGCATATCTTAAAAATTACAAATTTATATAGATGTGCTGTAAGGAAAAAGTTACCACTTTCTAGGCAATTTCAAAAAAAACTTTTAGCATGTGCCCACCAGTTTTTACAGAAAATTAGAGTTAAGCTAAAAATGGGTAGGTGCAGAGGATGAGAAACTTGGCTTCTGTTAAATGAAGTGTGAAAGTGGTTGCATCAGTGTCCTGGTTTCAGCTGGGAGTTAATTTTCTTTCTAGTAGCTGGTATAGTGCTATGTTTTGGGGTCAGTATGAGAAGAATGTTGGTAACACACTGATGTTTTCAGTTGTTGCTAAATAGTGCTTAGACTAAGTCAAGGATTTTTCAGCTTCTCATGCCCAGCCAGCAAGAAGGCTGGAGGGGCACAAGAAGTTGGGAGGGGACACAGCCGGGACAGCTGATCCAAACTGGCCAAAGGGGTATTCTGCACCATGTGACGCACCAGTATATAACTGGGGGGGAGTTGGCCTGGGGGGATCGCTGCTCGGGAACTAACTGGGCATTGGTCAGCAAGCGGTGAGCAACTGCATTGTGCATCACTTGTTCTGTATATTCCAATCCTTTTATTATTATTGTCATTTTATTATTGTTATTATCATTATTAGCTTCTTCCTTTCTGTCCTATTAAACTGTTCTTATCTCAACCCATGAGTTTTATGGTTTTTTTTCCCCGATTCTGTCCCCCATCCCACTGGGTGGGGGGCAGTGAGTGAGCGACTGCATGGTGCTTAGTTGCTGGCTGGGGTTAAACAACAATCAGTAAACTGCAAAGAGCAACTGAACTGTAGTAAGCAAAATGATGCAACTGACAGACACGGTGATTAAAATCGGATCAAACAGAATTTTCAGATACCACTCTTAAACAACTTGGTGAAAAATTTTGAGAGGAGAGTACACAAGAGTCTCATTATACCGAACAAATTACGTGATTCAACTGCTAAGCACCAGTTCAATGGCCTGAAGTGCTTTAAAATTTTACACACACGGTTTCTAAAAAAAAATTAAAAAAAAAAATCATTCTTATAAACAGTTAAAAACCTCTAAATTTTTTACATATAAGTTCAAAACAAAAAAGCATGACTTTAAAAAAAAGATCATTTTGCATTTGTCATCATCATGAACATTAAACATTATCTAGTCTTTGCTCAAACATGTCACTATTGCACCCCTTTGTGGAAGAACAGTAAAAAACATCTCACATTTGTCTTAATTCTAGTTATTTTAAACTTGGAATACCTCTATACACAAAATCTGTATTTAACCACTTCTTGCTTTTTTTCCAGTATACCAGGTTTCAAATAAAGTGTAAGCATTACATATACATTTACTTCTATCCTGGATAATTATAAGGCAATATTTTATAACTGATAAATAGAAATAAGAGTCTGGAAGTTTCTTGCTCCATTTTTCTCTAAGCAGAACTCTTTCTCGCCAAGGAGAATTTTACCTTACTATCAGTAGACTATACTATTAGTCTGCACATAGATCTGGAGCCAGAGATTTTATCTGCCTGAGAAATGCACAATTCCTACTTAGTTAAGCAAAGCAGAAAACAGAATCAGAACAATTAATTTTCCCCTTCAACATCCTTTTCCTAGCCTTCAGAAGCCAAACGGATGCATAGACAGGATATGCAAAACAGTTCTGTAGCCTCCGAGCATCTGTATCAGCTAAATAACTCAAAGTAATGATAAACAATCACTGAGCTTAAATGATACACTCAGGTTCACACTGATCCTGTTGCCAAAAGAAGTTGAGAGAAAAAGCAGAAAACAGCATCTTGCTACAGTATATCTTTAGAATGTCTTCTCCAGAAAAAAAAAAAATTTAATTTGTTCAATAAAGGACTTCTTCAAAATAAAAAAGTGATGTGTAAAGAAGACAGGGGCTTCACTGAACACACAAGTAGTGGTGTTTGAGTCACAGGCAAAAGTAGCATTTACTGGCTGAACACAAGAGGAAAAGAAAGGTAGATTAGGGGTAGAAGGCGGCTGTTACTCACCCCTCCCTTCAGAAGCTTCACATCTTTTTTAGAGCCCCTTTCTACTCACAAATACAATCTAAGCACTCTAACTGGGCTGTGACAGCTTCACTTAAAGCAGCTGGCAAGGTTACTAACTCTTGGTATCTGTCCTGCCAGGCTACAGTCTTTTGTACTCACTGACTGTCAAGTCCTGAAGCCCTGGAGCTTCCTGCACACCAATTTCAAGCAAACTGACATGGATTTCAGTTTGTGTTAAAAACATGCTTTATCGACCATGGTGGTGCAGAAATCAAGAAAAACTTCTCAGTCTGTACTTCTGCAGAGGGCAGTGGATACAGTAGACAACTAGGGGGTAATAACCTAACAGGCCCCAAGCTAAGTGTTCTTGTTTATCACTCAGAGCCTTAACATTTTCCTAATACTTTCAAAAATCCAAGTTTTGGAACTTTTCAAAAGGTGTTCCCAAAAACATCCTTTAAACAAGAATGACAAGTTTTATGTCTCTGTATATATCTAGAGCACATTATAGCATGACTTTCATCCAGCAAGAGAACTCATTCACACAGCATTTATACCTCAGCAAATGCACTAAGCTTTTTAACATTATATTATTTACAGCTTCCTTAATAACTAGCTCTATAGATAAGTACAATGCTAATACTTTGGTGAATTAAGGTCTACATGTCTAAATCCTCTTCATTCTCAGAAGTGAGCCAGGATGCTCTGGACATGTCCTACAGTCTGTGAAGGCATTGTCTTTTTATTGCAAGCAGAGTACTCCCCCGCCCCTCCATCTATGCATAAGCCATAATTAACAAACTTCTTAAACCAAGAAAATGAGTCTTAAAGTATACTTTAAGGTACACTTTATCTCTGTCATTTAGTCAGATAGGAAAGGGCCAGATGGAAAGCATGAGGGAAAGGTAAGAGACATTTGCAAGAGCCATCTCAACCTGTGGTTCTGGCAAGCTGAGTTTCAGATTCCTGTTTTCAGCGTGCTGTATTTCATATCATCAATGTGTGCCCAGTGTGTAACTGTAACACTCCATCTGCTTAACCGTCTTAAAATACATCAGCAATTCTACTCTAAGACATCAGAGTCTGGGATTAAAAGGTTCCACTGGAATCTAGTCATAATGGACTGATCCAGAAGCACATCTGCCTCTGAAGGTCCTTCATTTCTAGTTGGGGAAGAGTAAGAATTCTAAGAGTATAGACTGACTTCTACTATATGCACATCTCTTTAATTCTAAACAAAAGCAATGTACAGCTTGTGGTGTGTTGACCCCGGTCAGCAGCCAAGCACCCATATGGCTGCTCACTCACTTGCTCCATCCAGTGGGAACAGGACAGAGTGGGAAGAACAAAAGCAAGAAAACTCAGGTGCCAGGTTTTCTCCACAGTTTAATTAGTGAATGAAAAGAGAGATAAAATTAAAAACAAACAAACAAAGAGCCACGCAAAGATAATCACACATCACCTCCCACAAGTAGACCAATGCCCAGCCAGTCTCTGAGCAATAACCACCTTGGAAGCCAGCCCCCCACCTCCTCTTTCTTCCTCTACCTCCAGTTTATACTGCTGAGCATTACGTTAGATGGTATGGAATATTCCTTTGGCCAATTTGGGTCAGTTGTCCAGCTGTGTCCCCCCTCAATCTCATAAGCACCCCTAGCTCACTTGGGACAGGGGAGGCAGAATGGGTAAAAGAATAAGCCTTGATGCTGTGCAAGCACTGTCCAGCAATAGCCAAAACACTGGTGTGTTACCAACACCGCTTTAGCCGATTTGTGGCAGCAAGAGTCAGGCTGCTATGAAGAAAGTTAACTCCATCCCAGCCAGACCCAGGATACAGCTATATTTTAAACCAATACAAAACACGATACTCACAGAAACATACTCAGGGATAGAAAGCTGATCTTCAGGAAGAGACTTTAGCTTCTCATAGCAATCGTCTGTTAATTCCAAGTCTCGCAAGCTACGACGGATATCTCCAGCCCTCTCCCTTAACTGATGATTTGTTTCCTCCAGTTGCTTCTGTCTCAATAAAATAGTTTCCATTTCTTGTTTCATTAGAGCCTGGTGTTTTCTTCAAGATTGATTTGAAAACAGAAGACATTAAGCAGCAAGTAACACACGTGACAAACCTTCACAATACCCTGGCAAGGGAGTGAGTTATGCTCATTTTGTAGAGGGGGAAATTTACTTAGAGATTAGGTAATTAGCACAAGAGTGTGTACCACCATGGTTACACAACCATATCAGACACAGTATATGTAAAAAGCCAGAAATGTCATAGTCACTGACAATACAGAGCTGAAACTGAGAGGTGACAATTATTCTCCACATGTTGACTTGAATTTATACATTAGTCTTAGTTTACCAATTAAAAGGTTAAAAACATGAAAAAGCAGAATATATTTCCACACAAAACCCAGGGAACTAGTAAATCCCAAAATAAAGCAATAGCAACTTCTACTTGTGTCTTACCAAGTTTCAGCACATGTGCTTATGGCCTATTGCACACAGAACCCTTCATTTTCTCCCCAGTGTAACATACAAAGTTGGGGTACTTTTGAAAAAACAACAACAACAACAAAAAAACCAAACCCCAAAACAACCCACAGACAACACTACACTTAAACAAGCATGATTACTTCCAGCCTTAAAACACTATCATTACTATTATCACCAGTGACAAGGTATTATACAGCAAGAGAAACTGCACATCACTTAAAGATATTTCAAAGAGTTTTCTTTATTTTATTTAAATCAAAGGTGACTGACCTACTTTTTCTGAGGTTTTAGCTGTAGCTCTTGAAAATATATTAAAAGTAAATCACTTTTCAAAATGCAGTAATTCCTACATTATTTTAAAAGTAATATTAAAAATCCTAGCTAGTACTACAAGGCAATGTCTGCCCCCCTGGTTTCAAAAAGACAAGAGAAAGTCCCAGGTCAGCAAAGCAGTCAGACAAGGACATACTCCACATATAGCGTACGATTCTGTTAAATGGCGATGAAAGTGAGGTAAAAGACAGACAGGGAAACTAATGAAAAGACTGGGGAAAGGAAAGTAGTTCCACTCTTTTGTGCCTATTAATAACAATTTGCACATCAGTACTTTTTTACTTAGCACTCCTCAGATAACTCAAGTATGGCCAACATAAAAATATTCCACTCTGGTGCAAATAGGCATACAGTATGACAGACATTTTTCTGCCAGTCAGCTGCTCTTAGTTGAAAGACTTTGCTGTAACTCATCTCAGGTCTGGCTTCACATCCCTAAACCTGTTCGAGGCTTACTACAGAATATGACTTTGAACTAGTCACATCCTGTAAGCTGGTGCATCCTCTACCGTAACATGAGACTACTAAGTAATGCTCTTCCTTCACAGGTGTTAAAACCTTTAATTGACAAAGTAATTTGGAGAAGCCTGCTAGCTAGTCTATTTTCAGCTATAGGTTAACCCAAAATGTTTCAGAAAAGCAAGATGAAAAGTGCCTACATCATCAAGTGAAAGCATTTCTGACCAATAAGTGATCTTAACTGGAAGTGCTAAACATTATCCCCTTACCTTTCCCAAGACATCTAGGCTGCAGTTATTAAAAATTCAGTTTAAATTGATGGGAAGTCTGTCCCCTCCACCTACTCCTTTTGCTCTTTACTGGTTTTAAGAATGTTCTTACTCCCAGTTCCTATTAAATTTTGAATCCAGGTAACAATAAAACCAAAACCACAAGCTTCAGCCAGTGAGACTTGAATTCAAATTTACTTATATGTAAATTAAATATATAAATTCCATTTTTAGAATGGGAATACTAATATAATCCGAAAAATAAATACTATTCCTGCAACTCATAACGTTTCCATTAACTGTCCATGAATTAATTTGAATTCCTATTAATAAGTTATTAAAGATGAAGTTCTTAGTTTTACTTCCATCATACCTAGCATCTTCTTGCTGTAATGCCAGCTGAGTATCCAGTCGTAAAGACAACAGCTGCTTTTGATGGATTGCATCATTAAGCTTCTCTTCTAGCTCTTCAATCTAAAGAATATAAGTATAAAATGAAGAAAAGAAGTAACTTCAAAAAAATATTTTACAAAAAGAACAACTTGAAAGAAAACAATGGAGAGCTCGATGCCCTGTGAAATACAACGACTGTCTAACAAGACCTCTAAATATGCTAAGGCTTCATAAAATACTATATGAATTTTGCCCCAATGAACTAAAAATAAAAAAGACTTAGTTCTAAAATTGATCTTTTTCAGCCAAATAGCTACTTGTTCAGCTAATTTCAAACTAGGCTTAAACTCAGAGCAGCAAGCCAGTGAAAGCCACAGTTAGTATATAGTAGGTTGTAAATGTCGACTGCACACAAACGTGGCAAAGCTTTCACACCTTTCTTAGTTTCATGCATCTTAGTGGAAACTGTACACAACAGAATCTCCTACTATTAGCACATTGGTGTATTCTAGCCACATCTTCGTTAATAGATCATTGAATAGTATTCAGATTACTTTTTCTAGTATTCCACAAGTTCAGGTTAAAAGCCCTATTAAGCTGCTTATATCAGTGACAAAATTATTCTTCATTTCTGAAAAAAAACCCAGGTCTTTTTCCTTTGTTTTTAGAAAAGGAAAAACTAATTCGATCCCACCTCATTCATTTATAAGTATAATGACTTGGATAAGTCAGCTAAGTTTTCCATATCTTTGTTTGTTTCTTTTCTCATTAAAAAACCCAAACAAAACCAAGCAACCAAAAAAGACCAAGAAAGCCCCCTCAAACAACTAAGCAGGCTTTCAGCATGCAATTCACAGAAATTCATTTCAGAACAGAAGTTTGTACCATACTCTAAAAGCACCAGAAACAAAAAAAAAGATTATACAACGAAAGGAACAACACTTCTTACCTTGGTCAAATATTCTACTTTCAAGTTGTCAATCATCAAGTTTTTTTGAGATAATTCTATTTTAAGCAGCTGAAGATTATGGAGCAACTCTTTCCGTTCAATCAACTGCTTCGTGATTTTAACAGTACCTTCTCTCTCCTCAGAGGAGGAAACATCATCGGTTGGTATTGTGGTTTCTAAGCTAATATCTTCAGACTCCAAGGAGCTAGAAATGTTTACTTTCCTGATTTCCTTAGAGCTTTTATGGGACATTTTCTTCCGCTATTCGCAAGCTTCTTCAAGTTATACTTTGAGATGAGCTGCCTGAAGAATCAGCTGCAAGAATCAAAACAGTGAAAGGCATTATGTCACTATGAAAAATTAACCAGTTAAACAAGACCACTAAGCAATACTTCTCCGCATCACCTATCTATATTTTCTTGTTCACCCAAGAAAAAACATTTTAAGAAGCTCCAAAGAGGACAGTTGCCCGAGGACTCTCTTCCTAAATAATTGTTAACAAGGGTTTTGACTGCAATAAGCTAAATGCCTGCGTGAATCAAGCTTACTAGTAAGACGTTATAGCTAAATCAAGATGTGCATCTGCCATTCACACTGTCGGAAGAGCATGCACGGGAAACTCCAGGACCCACGAAGCATACATACAGCGTCAGAGAACGTCCAATAACGGGCATAACAAGACTTGCTGGAGAAAACGGTAAAGGAATACTTTGATGGCCAGCTTTGTCTTCTCTGAAAGCGCAGCTCCGTCGTTCTTACCAGTCACGCGTCCTTTTACGACCGCCTGGTACAGACCACAGCTTCGGCTTAAGAGGCGCGCAGACTCGAGGCCCGACAGAGACGGGGGATGCTGCGCTCCGAGCCCCGGTCAGCGCCAGCCGCGCTGCCCTGCGGCGAGGGGCGGCGGAGCCCGCCGGGGTCTAGCTCTCCCGGGCCGCTGCCGCCTCCCCCTCCCCCCGCCGCAGGAGCGGCTCGGTGGAGGAGATGCTGCTCGACCCGCCGGCCGCCCAACTCTGCGGAGGAGCAACGGGTAACCGCCCCACCGGTAACGGCCGGCTGCGGGGGAGCCGACCCCGGCTCGCCGACCCTCACGCTCGCCGGGAGAGGCGGGGGCCCCCGGCCGCCCCCCCGGCCCGGCCCCGGCGG